GGTCACTGCTGTGGCACAACCGCAATTGGTTAGGATGGGCACCCATTCAGGCAAGGGGGCCATATAACCTCTCAGTACACACATACATATATACACACACACAGCTTCACATGTGCATATATATATATATATATATATATATATATATATATATATATATATATATATATATATATATATATATATATATATATATATATATATATATATATATATATATATATATATATATATATATGTATATATATATACATATATATATATATATGCATGTATGTATCTATGTATGTATCTATATACACACACATATTCACACATGAATATGTGCATATATATATATATATATATATATATATATATATATATATATATATATATATATATATATATGTATATATATATATATATATATATATATATATATATATATATGTATATATATATATATATATATATATATATATATATATATATATATATATATATATATATATATATATATGCACATATCCATGTGTGAATATGTGTGTGTATATATATGTATGTATGTATATATATATATATATATATATATATATATATATATATATATATACATATATATATATATATATATATATATATATATATATATATGTATATATATATATATATATATATATATATATATATATATATATATATATATATATATATATATATGCACATATCCATGTGTGAATATGTGTGTGTGTATATATATATATATATATATATATATATATATATATATATATATATATATATATATATATGTACATATATGTATATACATATAGATAGTGTGTGTATATGTGTAACATATTAGTGAACAAACTGTGTATGGACCAATGATATGGCAACACTGTTATTATTGTAGACAGAAGTCAGTCGCACTGTCACCACGGAACGGGACGGATGTACGTCACTTCCGTTCCTCGTGTATCTAGTCTCTACTGTCAATATATCACCAAAGGATTTACGCGAGTTTATCTATCCACATCTGGTAAGACATTCTGTGGACATCCCACACCCACATGGCGCAGTGAGTTTCAGTGAAAAGACAGTAAAGAGAGGAACCGGCAGTGTGACTCAGCCATGCAGCGTCCTCGTGTTCAGTGACTACCCTCATGTTGTGAAGTGTCTGAGTGACTTGTGTGGTTTTAGTGAAGTGCAGTGATATCTTGTGGTGTAGTATGTGCAGGGAATACAGCTGTCATTCAATTCTCCCGCATTTTTGGTCATTTTGGCCAGAGCTACGCTGTACATCACCACGCATCCTGTCTGCAGCGGCACTGGCCCTCTCGCCGCACCACACCGCCCGAGAGAAGAAGCTCCGCCCCTTCGTGACGTCGAGCCCCAGGATTGGCCGACCGTGCCCAACAGCTCTGACGTCGCAGCGTCCGTCTGCGAGGCGCCACGAGGAAACTCCGAACCACCAGACACGTAAAATATACTTTATATAAACCAAAATGCCTAAAAAGACGAAAGCAGCGGCTAAACAAGAGGAAGTCACGCCGTCTCCCTCTTCGACATCGCCACCAGAAGCGCAGCCATCCATGGATGTACTATCGCAAATGATGGAAATCTGGCGGCAAGAGGCGGAGGAGAGGAAACAGGCGGAAAAACAACGTCGACAAGAGGACGAGGAACGACGACGGGAGGAAGATCGCCGACGACAAGAAGACGAGGAACGCCGACGACAAGAGGAAGACAGGCGAAGACAGGAGGAAGACAGACGTAGAAGAGAGGACGACGAGCAGAGAAGAAAGGCTGAGATACAACGATTCTTGCAGCTGTTTGCTACCCTCACCACGTCTCCCACTCCCCCGCAGACTGTAGGACCACAGCCTGCTGTCGCCACGGACCTTCCGGCTTCGACGCCTTCGTCAGGTACTCCAGCAATGAAGGCTTCAGTCCAGCCTCCCCCACCCCTCGCCCAAGATGTTACTTTGCGGTCGTACAAAGAATGGCGACAACGATGGGATGACTATGCTGTCATGATTGACCTGCATAACCTGCCTCAGCATAAGCAATTAATACACTTGCGTGCGTGCTTATCTGCTGACATGAGAGGAACACTGGAGCACAGTTTAGGCGTGTCTCCAGCCTCAGATTTGCCTCTCAGGGATGTCCTCCAGCGAATCCAGAACTGCGTTCGAGACCAAAAGAATGAGGTTTTACGACGTCTCACCTTTTCCCAGTGCAGGCAGGCCCACAATGAGAAATTTACAGATTTTTATGTACGCCTTAAGCAAGCTGCTAACGATGTGGATCTCTGTAAAGGACATAGCAATGCTTGTATCGAGACCCAAATCAAGCATGCCATCTTGATAGGTGTTAAAGATGAAGAGACCAAACAACGCCTGTTAGAGATGAAGTCCGACGCCACCCTCGATGACGTAATAACTGTGTGTAGATCTCGTGAGGCTGCCGAGTCTACCACCCAAGAATTACGCCCATTGCAACCAGCTACACGTGCATTGTCTGTTTATAAGCAGCAAAAGCGGCGAGCTGCCAAGGGTAACACTGAAGGACCCTACCGAAAAGCCAACAGTCGCCCTGCTAAGTCTCCAAAACCACAGCCAAAAGAACTTTGTGACCATTGTGGATACAGGACACACGTCAAGAAGAAGTGCCCTGCTTCTACTAGCACATGCCGTACCTGTGGCAAAGTAGGTCACTTTGCCAGCCGTTGTCATCATCAAAGAAGAAAAGGATGCCACCCACAGAAGGGAATGTTCTTTCAGTTTCCCAAGTTTCGCACAACATAGCCAAAGTCTGCGCAGTTGAAACTGAATCCCGTGTAGGCCCTGCATCTCCGACGATTAGATTGTTAGTGCAGTCAGGAGACTCTTCAGCATATATAGACTGCATACCTGACACAGGATCTGACACAACCGTGATGGATGTTACCCTTCTCAAGTCTCTAGGATTAACCACAGACAACCTGGACAAATCTACAAACTTCGGGCTGCATAATCCTGATGGATCGCATATGAACTGTACTGTCCTTGGATCATTATATGCAAGCATGACGTATGGTACAGTCACCATACAGGGTTGGATAAATGTGTTGAGTTCTTTACCACGACCTCTGCTGTCTTGGAGCCACACACAACAGCTACAAATTATCCCCAAGGACTACCCACGACAGATCCTAGGCAGAAAGCATGGTAAACGCTTTCCCAGTGAAAACCTGCAAACAGTTCAACCTGGAGAGGTAGCAAGAATTGTTACAACTCCCAAAGTTATGCCTGATCACCATTCAGTGACACCCCAGGAGGCCACAGGCCAACAGCCAGCTCCACCTCAACCATCACAACAGTTCCCGTTACATCCACCAAGACCTCCTCCATTCTCAGCATCCCCTGATGAAGCGAAGAAGTTTTTCCTTTGAGAATTTCCAGACGTTCTCATGACGAAGGAAGATTTCCGACAGGGTATGAAGCTCAAGGAGATGTGTGGAACCCCTATGAGGATCTTCATAAAGGAAAATGCCAAACCATTTGCAGTGCACACGCCCCGTGTCATTCCCCTTGCCTGGCGGGATGACGTCAAGACAGAGTTGGACTCCATGGTGGCTCAGGGCATCATTACTCCTGCAGGTGATGAACCATCACAATGGTGTCACCCCTTAGTGGCTGTAGCTAAGCCTAATGGAGGAGTCAGGATCACTGTTGACCTCACTAAACTCAACAGTCAAGTGCTACGCCCTGCCCATCCCTCACCAACGCCTCATGATGCTGTTCGTCGTATCAACCCTAAGGCGAGGTACTCTTCCACCTTGGATGCCTTATATGGCTATTGGCAAATACTTTTAGAAGAGCAAGATCAACACTTAACAACATTCATCACCCCTTATGGTCGCTTCCGCTTTTGTCGTGGACCCATGGGCTTTGCAGCCACAGGTGATGAATACTGTCGTCGAGGTGACATAGCACTCGACGGAGTACAACAGTGTGTGAAGGTGGTAGATGACGTCCTTCTATGGGATAAGGACTATGCATCCCACCTAAAGCGAGTACAGGAAGTTCTTATGAGATGCCGTGCACATCGCATTACCATGAACGCTGACAAGTTTGTGCTCGCAGCCCCAGAAGTGTCATTCTGTGGATATACCCTGTCAGGAAATGGAATTGCAGCTGAGGAAGAGAAAGTTCGTGCCATTGCCGAATTCCCAAAGCCAGCTAACCTGACAGACCTCCGATCATTTATGGGCTTGGTGAACCAATTGGCTGAATTCACCCCTGCAATTGCCGAGTCTGCTGATGTTTTATGCCCTCTTATGAGTCCCAAGCGTACCTTCACATGGACTCCTGACCATGATGCAGCATTCAGCCGTGTGAAGAAAGCTCTCTCACAACCACCTGTTCTCGCCCATTTCGACCCAGCACTCAAGACCATACTTCAGACAGATGCTTCCCGTCTCTATGGTGTAGGCTATGCATTGTTGCAAGAACATAAGCCTGGAGAATGGCGATTAGTGCAATGTGGTTCCCGGTTTCTAGCAGATGTGGAGACGAGATATGCCACAATTGAGTTGGAATTAGTGGCTGCAGTATGGGCTATGATGAAGTGCAAATATTACCTGCTTGGTTTGCCCCACTTCACCCTGATGACAGACCATAGACCTCTGGTGCCCATACTTAACTCGTACACATTAGATGCTATTGATAACCCCCGACTCCAACGCCTGAAAGAGAAGATAGCAGGTTATGTCTTCACAGCTACATGGCGTAAAGGAAAGGAACTCTCAATCCCAGATGCCCTTTCCCGTGCTCCTGTGGATTCACCATCCCCTGAAGATATCGCTCTTAGTGATGACACACGTCACTATGTCAGATGTGTAGTCACTCAGCGTATGGCCACTCTGAGCACAGTATCAGGGACGATACAGACAAGTGACTTGGTGCTTGATAAGATGTGAGCAGCAGCACGCGAAGATTCGGTATATGTCAAGCTCCTCGACAAAGTGACTCATGGTTTCCCTGCCAACCGTGACAATTTGGACCCTGACCTACTCCCATATTGGAAGGAACGTGACAATTTGTACCACGATGAGGACCTTATCCTTTTGGGACCCCGCATTGTAGTTCCTTCTACCCTTCGCCGAGAAGTGTTGGCTCGCCTACACGACAGTCACCGTGGCATGGAGGCCACAAAACGTCGTGCCCGACAGACTGTATGGTGGCCTGGTATCAATTCAGATATAACAAATGCAGTCAGATCATGTGAGCCTTGCCAAGTACTTCTGCCAAGTCAGCAACAAGAGCCCATGCTGACAGAAGAAGCACCCACCAAACCCTTTGAGTCTGTGTCAGCTGACTTTTTCAGTGCAGCGGGGAAGTCTTTCCTTGTTTACGTTGACCGACTCTCAGGATGGCCTGTGATAGCATGCTGTGGCACTGACACTACAGCTGCCGCCACTATAAGTTTCTTCAGAAGATTCTTCCGCGACCTTGGTGTCCCTCTTCGGCTGCGCACTGATGGTGGACCTCAGTTTTCGAGCCGAGATTTTAATGACTTTCTGTGTCGATGGGGTGTTCGCCATGATACATCCTCTCCCCATTATCCACAAAGTAATGGTCATGCAGAAGCTGCAGTGAAGGCTTTGAAACACCTAGTTTTGAAGGTCGCCCCTTCTGGTATCCTGAATGAAGCTTTCGACCGTGGATTGTTGGAACTCCGTAACACACCACGTCAGGATGGCCGTTCCCCTGCGCAAGTTTTGTTTGGCCACCCTCTACGTTCCCGTGTTCCAGCCCACAGCTCATCTTTTGCTCCAGAATGGCAAGCAAAGACAGAAGAGTGTGATCGCCGTGCAGCTATGAGGACACAAGCTGCTAAGGCATTATACGACTCGCACGCCAGACCATTACAGCCACTGCAGATTGGATCGCAAGTCCGGATACAAGATCCTGTCTCCAGACGATGGAATAAAGTAGCTGTAGTCATGGGAATTGGTCGGAGCCGCGACTACCTTCTCCGGACGACTTCAGGACGAGTACTTTGGAGAAATCGTCGATTCCTTCGAGTTGTGCCCATTCCATCTCACGCACCTGTGGAGGACAAGCGTGACGACGCCCCCGACCGCCCAGCCCAAGATTCTCCTTGCCCACGTAGACGTCGTCAACCCAGAAGTTATGGCGCCAGACGACGTTCTCAACGTATTGCTTCCCGTTCATAGGCTTATGAACGTGAGGAGGGGGGAGATGTGTGTATATGTGTAACATATTAGTGAACAAACTGTGTATGGACCAATGATATGGCAACACTGTTATTATTGTAGACAGAAGTCAGTCGCACTGTCACCACGGAACGGGACGGATGTACGTCACTTCCGAGCCTCGTGTATCTAGTCTCTACTGTCAATATATCACCAAAGGATTTACGCGAGTTTATCTATCCACATCTGGTAAGACATTCTGTGGACATCCCACACCCACATGGCGCAGTGAGTTTCAGTGAAAAGACAGTAAAGAGAGGAACCGGCAGTGTGACTCAGCCATGCAGCGTCCTCGTGTTCAGTGACTACCCTCATGTTGTGAAGTGTCTGAGTGACTTGTGTGGTTTTAGTGAAGTGCAGTGATATCTTGTGGTGTAGTATGTGCAGGGAATACAGCTGTCATTCAATTCTCCCGCATTTTTGGTCATTTTGGCCAGAGCTACGCTGTACATCACCACGCATCCTGTCTGCAGCGGCACTGGCCCTCTCGCCGCACCACACCGCCCGAGAGAAGAAGCTCCGCCCCTTCGTGACGTCGAGCCCCAGGATTGGCCGACCGTGCCCAACAGCTCTGACGTCGCAGCGTCCGTCTGCGAGGCGCCACGAGGAAACTCCGAACCACCAGACACGTAAAATATACTTTATATAAACCAAAATGCCTAAAAAGACGAAAGCAGCGGCTAAACAAGAGGAAGTCACGCCGTCTCCCTCTTCGACATCGCCACCAGAAGCGCAGCCATCCATGGATGTACTATCGCAAATGATGGAAATCTGGCGGCAAGAGGCGGAGGAGAGGAAACAGGCGGAAAAACAACGTCGACAAGAGGACGAGGAACGACGACGGGAGGAAGATCGCCGACGACAAGAAGACGAGGAACGCCGACGACAAGAGGAAGACAGGCGAAGACAGGAGGAAGACAGACGTAGAAGAGAGGACGACGAGCAGAGAAGAAAGGCTGAGATACAACGATTCTTGCAGCTGTTTGCTACCCTCACCACGTCTCCCACTCCCCCGCAGACTGTAGGACCACAGCCTGCTGTCGCCACGGACCTTCCGGCTTCGACGCCTTCGTCAGGTACTCCAGCAATGAAGGCTTCAGTCCAGCCTCCCCCACCCCTCGCCCAAGATGTTACTTTGCGGTCGTACAAAGAATGGCGACAACGATGGGATGACTATGCTGTCATGATTGACCTGCATAACCTGCCTCAGCATAAGCAATTAATACACTTGCGTGCGTGCTTATCTGCTGACATGAGAGGAACACTGGAGCACAGTTTAGGCGTGTCTCCAGCCTCAGATTTGCCTCTCAGGGATGTCCTCCAGCGAATCCAGAACTGCGTTCGAGACCAAAAGAATGAGGTTTTACGACGTCTCACCTTTTCCCAGTGCAGGCAGGCCCACAATGAGAAATTTACAGATTTTTATGTACGCCTTAAGCAAGCTGCTAACGATGTGGATCTCTGTAAAGGACATAGCAATGCTTGTATCGAGACCCAAATCAAGCATGCCATCTTGATAGGTGTTAAAGATGAAGAGACCAAACAACGCCTGTTAGAGATGAAGTCCGACGCCACCCTCGATGACGTAATAACTGTGTGTAGATCTCGTGAGGCTGCCGAGTCTACCACCCAAGAATTACGCCCATTGCAACCAGCTACACGTGCATTGTCTGTTTATAAGCAGCAAAAGCGGCGAGCTGCCAAGGGTAACACTGAAGGACCCTACCGAAAAGCCAACAGTCGCCCTGCTAAGTCTCCAAAACCACAGCCAAAAGAACTTTGTGACCATTGTGGATACAGGACACACGTCAAGAAGAAGTGCCCTGCTTCTACTAGCACATGCCGTACCTGTGGCAAAGTAGGTCACTTTGCCAGCCGTTGTCATCATCAAAGAAGAAAAGGATGCCACCCACAGAAGGGAATGTTCTTTCAGTTTCCCAAGTTTCGCACAACATAGCCAAAGTCTGCGCAGTTGAAACTGAATCCCGTGTAGGCCCTGCATCTCCGACGATTAGATTGTTAGTGCAGTCAGGAGACTCTTCAGCATATATAGACTGCATACCTGACACAGGATCTGACACAACCGTGATGGATGTTACCCTTCTCAAGTCTCTAGGATTAACCACAGACAACCTGGACAAATCTACAAACTTCGGGCTGCATAATCCTGATGGATCGCATATGAACTGTACTGTCCTTGGATCATTATATGCAAGCATGACGTATGGTACAGTCACCATACAGGGTTGGATAAATGTGTTGAGTTCTTTACCACGACCTCTGCTGTCTTGGAGCCACACACAACAGCTACAAATTATCCCCAAGGACTACCCACGACAGATCCTAGGCAGAAAGCATGGTAAACGCTTTCCCAGTGAAAACCTGCAAACAGTTCAACCTGGAGAGGTAGCAAGAATTGTTACAACTCCCAAAGTTATGCCTGATCACCATTCAGTGACACCCCAGGAGGCCACAGGCCAACAGCCAGCTCCACCTCAACCATCACAACAGTTCCCGTTACATCCACCAAGACCTCCTCCATTCTCAGCATCCCCTGATGAAGCGAAGAAGTTTTTCCTTTGAGAATTTCCAGACGTTCTCATGACGAAGGAAGATTTCCGACAGGGTATGAAGCTCAAGGAGATGTGTGGAACCCCTATGAGGATCTTCATAAAGGAAAATGCCAAACCATTTGCAGTGCACACGCCCCGTGTCATTCCCCTTGCCTGGCGGGATGACGTCAAGACAGAGTTGGACTCCATGGTGGCTCAGGGCATCATTACTCCTGCAGGTGATGAACCATCACAATGGTGTCACCCCTTAGTGGCTGTAGCTAAGCCTAATGGAGGAGTCAGGATCACTGTTGACCTCACTAAACTCAACAGTCAAGTGCTACGCCCTGCCCATCCCTCACCAACGCCTCATGATGCTGTTCGTCGTATCAACCCTAAGGCGAGGTACTCTTCCACCTTGGATGCCTTATATGGCTATTGGCAAATACTTTTAGAAGAGCAAGATCAACACTTAACAACATTCATCACCCCTTATGGTCGCTTCCGCTTTTGTCGTGGACCCATGGGCTTTGCAGCCACAGGTGATGAATACTGTCGTCGAGGTGACATAGCACTCGACGGAGTACAACAGTGTGTGAAGGTGGTAGATGACGTCCTTCTATGGGATAAGGACTATGCATCCCACCTAAAGCGAGTACAGGAAGTTCTTATGAGATGCCGTGCACATCGCATTACCATGAACGCTGACAAGTTTGTGCTCGCAGCCCCAGAAGTGTCATTCTGTGGATATACCCTGTCAGGAAATGGAATTGCAGCTGAGGAAGAGAAAGTTCGTGCCATTGCCGAATTCCCAAAGCCAGCTAACCTGACAGACCTCCGATCATTTATGGGCTTGGTGAACCAATTGGCTGAATTCACCCCTGCAATTGCCGAGTCTGCTGATGTTTTATGCCCTCTTATGAGTCCCAAGCGTACCTTCACATGGACTCCTGACCATGATGCAGCATTCAGCCGTGTGAAGAAAGCTCTCTCACAACCACCTGTTCTCGCCCATTTCGACCCAGCACTCAAGACCATACTTCAGACAGATGCTTCCCGTCTCTATGGTGTAGGCTATGCATTGTTGCAAGAACATAAGCCTGGAGAATGGCGATTAGTGCAATGTGGTTCCCGGTTTCTAGCAGATGTGGAGACGAGATATGCCACAATTGAGTTGGAATTAGTGGCTGCAGTATGGGCTATGATGAAGTGCAAATATTACCTGCTTGGTTTGCCCCACTTCACCCTGATGACAGACCATAGACCTCTGGTGCCCATACTTAACTCGTACACATTAGATGCTATTGATAACCCCCGACTCCAACGCCTGAAAGAGAAGATAGCAGGTTATGTCTTCACAGCTACATGGCGTAAAGGAAAGGAACTCTCAATCCCAGATGCCCTTTCCCGTGCTCCTGTGGATTCACCATCCCCTGAAGATATCGCTCTTAGTGATGACACACGTCACTATGTCAGATGTGTAGTCACTCAGCGTATGGCCACTCTGAGCACAGTATCAGGGACGATACAGACAAGTGACTTGGTGCTTGATAAGATGTGAGCAGCAGCACGCGAAGATTCGGTATATGTCAAGCTCCTCGACAAAGTGACTCATGGTTTCCCTGCCAACCGTGACAATTTGGACCCTGACCTACTCCCATATTGGAAGGAACGTGACAATTTGTACCACGATGAGGACCTTATCCTTTTGGGACCCCGCATTGTAGTTCCTTCTACCCTTCGCCGAGAAGTGTTGGCTCGCCTACACGACAGTCACCGTGGCATGGAGGCCACAAAACGTCGTGCCCGACAGACTGTATGGTGGCCTGGTATCAATTCAGATATAACAAATGCAGTCAGATCATGTGAGCCTTGCCAAGTACTTCTGCCAAGTCAGCAACAAGAGCCCATGCTGACAGAAGAAGCACCCACCAAACCCTTTGAGTCTGTGTCAGCTGACTTTTTCAGTGCAGCGGGGAAGTCTTTCCTTGTTTACGTTGACCGACTCTCAGGATGGCCTGTGATAGCATGCTGTGGCACTGACACTACAGCTGCCGCCACTATAAGTTTCTTCAGAAGATTCTTCCGCGACCTTGGTGTCCCTCTTCGGCTGCGCACTGATGGTGGACCTCAGTTTTCGAGCCGAGATTTTAATGACTTTCTGTGTCGATGGGGTGTTCGCCATGATACATCCTCTCCCCATTATCCACAAAGTAATGGTCATGCAGAAGCTGCAGTGAAGGCTTTGAAACACCTAGTTTTGAAGGTCGCCCCTTCTGGTATCCTGAATGAAGCTTTCGACCGTGGATTGTTGGAACTCCGTAACACACCACGTCAGGATGGCCGTTCCCCTGCGCAAGTTTTGTTTGGCCACCCTCTACGTTCCCGTGTTCCAGCCCACAGCTCATCTTTTGCTCCAGAATGGCAAGCAAAGACAGAAGAGTGTGATCGCCGTGCAGCTATGAGGACACAAGCTGCTAAGGCATTATACGACTCGCACGCCAGACCATTACAGCCACTGCAGATTGGATCGCAAGTCCGGATACAAGATCCTGTCTCCAGACGATGGAATAAAGTAGCTGTAGTCATGGGAATTGGTCGGAGCCGCGACTACCTTCTCCGGACGACTTCAGGACGAGTACTTTGGAGAAATCGTCGATTCCTTCGAGTTGTGCCCATTCCATCTCACGCACCTGTGGAGGACAAGCGTGACGACGCCCCCGACCGCCCAGCCCAAGATTCTCCTTGCCCACGTAGACGTCGTCAACCCAGAAGTTATGGCGCCAGA